TACCAAATTCTTTCTTAGTTCTCTAGTGTTGCTATAGGAGAAATACCACAAATGGATTGCTTTAACAAGGAGAGATTTCTTTCCTCTCATTGTGGGAGTGTAGTAGTCCAAATTCAAGGTGCCGATTATAGAGGAAAGCTTTCTGGGGAGTTGGCTCTGGTGGAAGGTTTTTGTGTCCGTTGAGCTGCTTCTGGGTGATCTTCTGTGGAGTCTCATCTTTTTTCCTCCATCCCCTACCTGCATATTTGTTTGCTGGATGCAGCTCTTTTGTGCCCTAAAAGGTCTTGCCCATTCCTGCTTGGTTAACATAACAAAGAACCCTTTCCCAAATAGCCTTAGGATAAACCAAAAAGTAAACTTAATGTCTTCTAAGCAGTCCTATTCTTGGCGACCCTATTGGGCCCTGTAGAGCATTTCCAAGACTGCAACTCTCTTCGGGAGTGGAAAGAACCTGTCTTTCTCCTTCAGAGATGCTGTTGGTTTGGAACCTGTGGATTGAAGCTGAATGCGTAACTGACACAGACAGGGCTCCTCTAACTTTAGGTTAAAGGTTAAGATTATAATACAAAATTCTGGGTGACTCAGTTATAGTCTATAGGCATTTAGGTAAAAATGTTTTTTTAAAAAGAGATGGGCCTTTCATCTTGTGTCACTTACTGATTTTGAAGGCCATTGGCTTTCATGTTGAACTGTTTCATGATCACTGTGCCTCACAGGGACTCAGGGCTGCCATCTCTTGCCAGGAGAGTGTAGACAGCCATCTAATCTGCTCTAGGAAATAGGTTGGAGATTTTATCATCAGCCATCACTTGTGAAGGACAATAGTATATTAAACAAACATTGTTTTTTTTACTGGCAGTTTTATTTATAAAGTAGGTACCTGGGAGTCACCCTTCTCTAACTTTCATGGTTTTAGTACACATATTTTTTTGAGGGTAAGTTTAAAAAAAGCTACAAGATCACAGGAACTTTTATTAACAAGTATCAGACTGTGAGGCTATGGTTTCTCAGCATATACTCCATCTGTACACTTTGAGAGGTGGTGGTTCTATCTCTAGCTCTGCCTTAGAGAATTCTGTGCCCTTCAGTGTTCAGCACATCAGAACTGTTTTGGCAGCCTTTAGAGCAGGCGTCCTCAAACTGTGGCCCGCCGAGGACATTTATCCGGCCCGCTGGGTGTGTGCATAGGAATTTGTTCATAGTTTAAAAAAAAAACAAACTATAGTCTGGCCCTCCAATGGGTCTGTAGGACAGTGAACTGGCCCCCTGTTTAAAAAGTTTGAGGACCCCTGCTTTTGAGACTCAGATTGTGTTCCTTTTAAATGTTCTTTGACTTTGGGGAACAAGAAAGTCTGAAGGGGCAAAAAGAGAGCAGGAGGTTAGATGAGGTAAGGTTTCCCAATGGAATTCTCATAGAGCAACCTTCACAACCCTCTCTTCCCTTGAAGAATGAGCAGATGCAACGCCCCTGGCTTTTTTCCTCGCCGATGCAGTTTTCTGTTTTCCTACAGCTTTATAATCAGCCCCTGTGATCATCCTGTGTCCTTTGAGAAAATCTGTCAAGCTTACCTTTTTGGAATCTCCCTTCCACCAAAAACCAAAACAAAACAACAGTTGCCAAACCTCCTAAGCTGACCTCTCTACCTCGAATTCATCTTCAGTGTCTTCTTAACCCTTCCTATAAGGCTGGATCCATTTAAATGTGTGTTCTATGTGGAAGCATTCCATCAATTTGTTGCAGAGCTTCAATGATTTGGGAAGATGTCTCTGACTCTGACTCCAAATTGTTATGTCATTGTCATTCCCCCCCCCGCGGCACAAGAAAACGTTGTTTTTGTTTAAGGTCCCCTAATGAAACTAAGACAAGCGTATACTGAGAGAACCTGTGTGCAGCTGCCCACTGGTCACAGAGACATGTTTGGAATAAAGTCCTGCGTGTACGAGCTGGAACTCTAGTAGCAATGCATCTTGGCCTGCCCTCATTGAATACCCAATGCCTTACCTCTGTAGTGGTGAGTGCAAAACCCTTCTCTTGGGTGTTTCGCTTTGGAAAGTGCCTGACATAGGCATAAACAAGCAAAAGTAAAGAGACCGTCATAGGGCAGGGTAGACACCCACCCCCCTCTGAGTTTCCAAGACTAACTCTTTAAGGGAGCAGAAAGCCCCATCTTTCTCTCACAACATAGCCATATAGTCAGGTAACAAACTACTAAATCTTAATAGTCATCAATTTGTAATTCTATCTTTAGAACTCTTCCCACCTCCAACCCCCATTTGAGAAATTCCGCAAGCATGACACTTTTCCCCCTCCTCACTTGAGTGGCTTGGTTAGGTTCCAAAAGCCAAGTTGCTTTGTGAAAATCAGCATTACGTGAAAATGGAGGTTGAACACATCAGATCACAAAATGAGAATGACTACATCATTACATAACATGCCAGGTTATATCATTACAGGCTGCCAGGTTTAATCAATACGTAACTTCCAAGCCACTGAGAACCGTGGGCCAGCAAGTTGACACATCACCTTAACCTGCACAACCAGCATTGCTCAGATCTCACATCTCTGTGTATTATTGCAAGCTATACATAAAATAGCAAAGAGTTGAGTTTTACCGATATAAATGTGCACTGTTTGGATAATGAGATAGTTGGGGGAGTGAGGACTAGATGTTTATGGCTAAGCTTTCAGCACACACATAATGTGTTTTGTTTTTCCATATTACCTTCCTGTTTATCCTGTCCTATGCAAGAGCCATTTGTATAGTTTCATCTGATAGTGTTGCTGAGTGCCTGTGCTTACCCAGCATGGTTTCATAGAGGATACAGAAGTAAAAGGTTAGTTTCTGCCCTTAAAAAAGCTAGTCGTTTTTTTAGAGGGGAAACAGAACAGCATGCTGTAGTAAAACTAAACCAACATGACATCTGCTTTCACCAAGATTAAGAAGATCTCCGTGTGGGGGTGCCGTAACCTGGGAGGGGATGAGACCCAAGCCCTAGTGTGGGAAGATGTATACAAAGGTGAGATTGGCTAGGCTGAGAACAAGCTGTACAGCGCTCTGAGAGCTTCCGCAAGCACGGCCATCCTAAGTCTTGGGAGCGGAGAAGCTTCCGTCCAGGTAGATTGGCTCTGGCAGCAATGTGCTGAGTGAACCCTGCAGAGAGGCTGGCCAGGAAGAGAGGGTTACAGTTCTGGGACTTTTCCTCCTTCATTCCTGGATTTCATTAATCACTGGGTTCTGTCAACTTACTACTCCCTTCATCCTATGGACATTCAGTCGTTGGCAGAGGAGTCGGGGGTTTTTGTTTTGTTTTTCTGTGGGGAGAAGTTGTAAGGCTTGTAATTAGACTGATAGAAAACTAAGAGGGCTTGGTGTGTTTGTCCAGCTGAATGGTGTTCAGTGCCCATGGGGCTGGCCTGTGGGGATAGAGAAGAATGCAGTATCCAGGCGTTGTCATTCACCTTCTGACACTCTCTGAAGTGGATACTATTATTATATCCCCATTTTTTGAAGAGGAAACAGACCCAGCGGGGGTACTTAGCTCAGGCCACACCTCTAGTAAGTAGAAGAACCAGAATTGGGATCCAGATCTCTGGCTAGAGAGCTTAACCTCTTAATGACTGTTCCATTCTGCTTCAACGAACTTAAAAAAATAATAAGGCAGAACCAGCATTTTGTCCCCATATTAAGTATTATATTAAAATGTGGTTTTAATGTCTCTATATTTCCTTATTGTGCATAAACTGCACCTGGTGGTGCAGTGGACGATGCACTGTGTTGGTAACCACAAGGTCTGCATTTCAGACCCACCAGCAGGAGAAAGATGAAGCTCTCTATGCCTGTAATAAGTCTTAGAAACCCAAAGGAGCGGTTCTGCTCCATCCTGTAGGTTTGCTGTGAGCCGGACAGGACTCGATGGCAGTGAGTGTTTATGGCTATACGTATCATCATTTACCAGGTTATTCCCTTAAAGTTGGGCTTCTTAGGTTGTTTATGATTGTTCATTTTGATTAAAATATCATAGAAATCTTTGTATTTACTCAAGATTATCTCTGGGCATAAAATCACAAGTGGAATTACTGTGTGCTTCGCTTATGCCACTGTCTATAGGATTGTGCTGGGTGGCGGGTGCCGGCACCATACCAATGCAGGGCAGAGTCCCGTCAAGCAGGCCGAGTTTAGCAGGAGACAGTGTCACAGTAATCGCATCTTGTTAGTGTTTCTCTTTTTCTTTGCCTGCTGTTTAGACCTCCTTGGAGTCATCTATTTGTCCTTCACCCAGCATTCATCTTTTTTCCTAAAACAATTTTTTCTTGTTTATTGTCTTTTAAATTTTTACTCAGCATGTTTTTGTCATGTTTAAGAATATTTTGTTATTTAAATTGTTGAATTTTCATACATCTAAATTTTTTTATTATTTATACTTGAAAGCACAGTCTTAGATTTGAAAACTATTCCTTGTGTATTTTGTTTTTTATGTTATTTCTCTGTCATGTTCTACCAGAATATATCTTAGATGGATCAAAGCTAAACTTAATTTTTCCTACAAAATACTTATAGTTTTTCTGGCTTCTAATAAAATGATATTGACAATACCATAAAATATGTATTATTATGACTATAGCATGTTTAATATTTGTATAGAAGGCTACTATTCTCTTTCAGAAATTTGTTGCTATCTTCAGGATCTTTGTTTTTCAGGTCAGCTTTAAAATCCCCATCAAGCAGGAAGAATTAGTTTCTTTGTTTTCTTTTTTGGAGGGCAGTTCTTCTTGATTGCTCCGGGCCAGGGGTGCTCAGGAGCTCTTGGTGGGCGAGTCCTCTTGCTCTTCACCATGACAGGCTTCTGGCAGCGTGGGATGGCGCTGGCTCTGCGGAAGGTCGGGCCGTACTTGTTCTTGCGGATCATGTGCCAGATGCTGCTGAGCATGGCCCCGGCGTTCTGGTTAATGGTGGACCGCACGTAGGAGGTGGCCGGCTTCCGCTGGCCTGACCTCCGTTTCAGGACCACCACAACCCCTTGCCGTCGGCAGCAGGCTTGACGCCCACCGGCTTGCGGTGTGCCAGCCCGCTGTAGCGGAAGGAGTTGCGGGCTTTCAGGTTATTGAGCTCGCTGCTGTACGTCTGCTTGTTTCTCTGGATCAGGAACCTGGAGCAGTTCCGCACGACCATCCACTGCAGATGCGCGGACATGGCGGCGGCTCCTCTCTGCCGCGGCCGGAGACGGAGAGAGCAGAATTAGTCTCTGTCTCTGGCCCTTCCACACATAAGTACGACCGCTCATGTTTAATGACGTATTTTATGCTGCCATGGAGGTGCGTTCCAACTGACAGCGACCCTGTGCGACAGGATGAACTGCCTCCTGGGATTTCCAGGGCTGTACATCTTTATGGAAGCAGGCGGCCACATCTTTCTCACTCAGCCACTCGGACATGTTGAACTGGCCACCTTGCTTGTATTCAGCCAAGCACTTAGCCACTGCTTCACCAGAGCTCTTCTTGCTCTGCAAATAGGTCTTGTGCATTTGGGGTTAAGATGGTTTCAATTTTAATATATTCTGCGGTGAATGCTATAATTATACATACATTTATGCTTAACTATATTTTTTACTTATTCACAATATGTGTCTACAGGGGCTGCAAAAATTATGGAAACGCTCCATTATTTTTCAACTTTATTTTGTTTTCCATGAATTTTTCAAGTCCTCTTGTATATATAATTTTATTTATAGCCCATCGTATTCCACAAATAATTTGGGAAACAATGTATAGAAAACATTATAAAGGTTAACATTCCAGAAGATACAGATTGAAATAGAAACGTAGTTTTATGTACTTGGAGGGGAAATAATGACTGGTGTGAATAAGTTTTTAGAAGCCTTTTGCCTTGGAGAGTGCCTGAAGCAAGATGGGGCACCAGCATCTCTGCAAGCCACCCGGCCAGGGTGCCTGCTCTTGCTGTGAGTGCTCACACCTGCACAGTCTGCTGGGGAAATACAGCCTCAGTATGTGCCCTCCGTACTCAGAGGGTGTCAGCTTCATCACGCTGGACTAAGGGAACTTTGACTGGGTTATCCAAGACAGCTACCCAATAGAAGCGACAATGCCAGCTATTC